TAATTATTCAGATTTGTTCTACAGTGAATTGCAATTTATAATTAGGCGTTTCCAATATGACAGAAAATATTAATGTTCCTGCAAACGAAACAATAACTATTCCTTTTAGTAGACCATCTATGACACATAAATGCATTATCTGCAAAGCTAAGTCGCTGCTTGTTGTTGTACCTTTCCTGGCTAAACTTCGGGTTTTTGTTAAGCGTGGATTGATAATTAATAAAAAGTGACAGGCAAGGGGACTCACGTAAATCCAACACCCCACTTTACGTGGCTTCTTAAAGGAAGATTACGTTTACGATTTTACTGTTCACATGTGGAGAATCAACAAGAATAAATAATATGATTTCAATCTCGGATCTCCTTAAGTAACGTTTCTACAAATCTATCTGTAAGAAGCCTCATAACTTGCAAAGTATTTAATGAAAAATGACTTAGTTATAAGTGTTTTGGAAAGCTCTCGAGATAAGCTACAAGATATGTAAAAATAAGGGGTTCTATATAAAATATTGAAATCGACATTTACGTGACCTTCAAATGATTATCCGAGGTCAAACCAATGACACCATCTTATGTTCCCCTTGAAACCATACAACTTTTATCTGAAACATTTTTCTCAGAAACGTTTAGTTTTCCAAAGAAATGCTTGATACGGGCGCGCTGATGCACCATGTATACTTTTGAAGTATACACTCTAAATACTTCCGTTTAGGCTGGAATTGACTAAATATTACTTCCAAGGGTATAAGGAAGTGGTTCCAGCCATTTTGGTCCAATTTTGAAGGATGCCGAAAACAGGCCTTAGGGACCCTCCTCTTTTCAAAATCATCAAATTAATCAAATTCAGAGCGCTATTGGAACAATATATTCTTGAGACTAAATAAAGCAAAATGTCTAGTACCACTTTCTCTTCTGATAAATGGTTAGCGAGATATCGTGAGTTAAATATTGAAAAAGTTATCAAGTTTTCCTTAAATATCTAAAAAAATATTAGGTAAATAAAAAAATGTTTCAGACAAAAGTTGTTCGAATTAATTGCTAGAAAAAGATGATGTAATAAAAAATTAGGGTATCCATTTAAAAGTTTTATGTTGATTTTGACTGGACTTTTCAAGGTCATCTCAAAGTCAAATTCATAGCGTCAGTAAATAGATCCTTTGAATCTCTACAACTTTTGTCTGAAATATTTTTCTCTAAAATGTCGCGTTGACGAAAAAATCGGGTGACCCGGGTGGTCTGAAACATCCGGTATATACATGTATATACCGGATGTATATACAGGATGTATACAAGTGATCCAACTTTTTATCACACGATTTAACATTACCAACAGCACTGTAGTTAATCGCGTATATATTGCAACGCGTCGTTATCGGCAAGTTCAGATGGTTGATGATTTTCGACTGCTTGAGCTGAAACCTTAGCACGAAAAAGTATAGATACGTAATTTACGTGGTAATGCATCATAAAAATATAACAAAAAATAACGTTACGTGAGTCTTAAAATCTTTCCCGCTACAGGCGTAATTTTCGTGACCATTTTCATATTTTTATAATGCATTACCACGTTAAATATCTATATCTTTTCGTACTAGGATCTTGGTTCAAGCAGCCAAAAAGTCAATCATCTGAACTTGCCAATAAAGATACGATGCGTGTAATATCTATACGCATCTCAATTAATTACAGTGCTGTCGGTAATGCTAAATCGTGTGGTAAAAAGTTATATCATTTACTCATGTACACCCTGTATATATACACTTACTGGGTGATCCGAAATTCCCGCATTCGGAGTACAGGACATGATACTTTATGCTAAAACAAACAACTTTTTCTTTTAGCAAATTTGCGTCCGACAAGTAGTTTCTGCAGGAGGGCGTATTAAATTTAACAAATAAGTGCTCTTGTCTATCTAGCGCTCAGGACCGGCGCGCGCTCCTCACTCGCGTGTACCTAGTCCGTGATTAGTAATCATAAGTAGTGTCTTTTAAGACGCTCATACGGTTCTGTTGTGATTAGTTTACGACATTTTAAGACTGTGCTTAGCACAATTTTAAATAATAAGAATCAACTATAAACAATACCGGGATTTAACCTGCTTTCATATTTATATTGCTTAAATAATGAAAAGTTAATAAAATAAGTACTGCCTTTATTTCTTACGTAATAAATGAATAAAATATTGTCTAGTTGCACAATATTATCTGAAAATAAAGACAAATGTAAATAGTAATATGTTTTGCGAGCTGTGAGCATTCTATTATTTCAAATATTACGTGATAATTAAATAGTATCATTAAACTTAAAGATTAATTTACTGATCAAGCGTATACATAGGAGTATGCATATTTGTAACAGTGATTAAAAGTAAAATATTTGAATTAACTTTTCTTTTAAGAGCTCTCTTTTTATTTTTTTATAATAGAAAATACAAAGAACTTATTTAAAATTCAAATTGTGTGATATATTCACGTCATGGTCTACATTTATTTATTATTGCTTATGCACGTTAGCCTTTTAATAAGTACTTTCCTTATATGTTTCGATTATTATGAGGAATATTGCTATAGCCTCAATGATTTATTTTCTTAACCAACTTGACCATTGAGGCTATAGCAATATTCCTCGCAATAATTAAAACATGTAAGGAAAGTACGTATTGAAAGGCTAACATATATAAGCAATAATATGTAAATGTAGACCGTGATGTGAGTATATCACACAATTTGAATTTTAAATAAGTTCTTTGTATTTTCTAAAGGGTGTCCCAAAATTCACGCAAGAAGTAATTTTGATAGAAAACACAGTTTTATAATTAAAAATTGTAAATTTTTTATTGATTCATGAAGTATACAGTATAGGGTTATGTATGGAATAGCATATCAGGTAAATGGCCTCCATGGTTTTGCTGGCACATATGCACTCTTTTGCTGAAATTTTCCATGACCGTTTTGCATAAATGTTGCTGAATTTCGTTGAAACAGCGCTCAATTTCCTCCTTCAAGGCATGGGTGGTCGTGGGCTTGTTGGCAAAAACCTTAGACTTCAAAAAACCCCAAAGAAAAAGTCCAACGGCGTTAAATCGCATGATTTGGGCGGCCAAATCTGATCACCAAAACGGGAAATCACACGACCAGGAAATGACTCATGCAGTAATTGAATTGTTTCTCGGACTGTATGGCATGTGGCCACCGTCTTATTGAAACCACATGTCGTCCACATCCATATCTTGCAATTTAGGCACAAAAAACTGGTTTATCATATCGCGATAGCAACCATTAACTGTTATTGCCTGACCAACCGCATTTTCGAAGAAGAATGGTCCGATGATGCCTCCAGCCCAAAATCCGCACCAAACAGTGACACTTTGTGGATGCATTTGTTTCTCAACAATCATTCGTGGATTTTCTGAACTCCAAATACAACAATTTTGTCGATTAACCAAGCCATCAAGAAGAAAATGAGCCTCATCGCTGAAGATTTTGTTCGAAAAATCAGCATCCACTTGTTGTTCCATAATCCATTCAACGAACTCTCTTCGCTGTGGCCGTTTACCCGATATGCTATTCCATACATAACCCTATACCATATACTTTATGAATTAAAAAAAATTTACAGTTTTTAATTATAAACCTGTGCTTTCTATCAAAATTACTTCTTGTATGAATTTTAGGACACCCTTTATTATAAAAAAATAAAAAAAGAGCTCTTAAAAGACGTTAATTCAAATATTTTACTTTTAATCACTCTTACAAATATGCATACTCCTATGTATACGCTTGATCAGTAAATTAATCTTTAAGTTTAATGATACTATTTAATTATCACGTAATATTTGAAATAATAGAATGCTCACAGCTCGCAAAACATATTACTATTTACATTTGTCTTTATTTTCAGATAATATTGTGCAACCAGACAATATTTTATTCATTTATTACGTAAGAAATAAAGGCAGTACTTATTTTATTAACTTTTCATTATTTAAGCAATATAAATACGAAAGCAGGTAAAATCCTGGTATTGTTCATAATTAATTATTATTTAAAATTGTGTTAAGCACAGTCTTAAAATGTCGTAAACTAATCACAACAGAACCGTATGAGCGTCTTAAAAGACACTACTTATGATTACTAATCACGGACTAGGTACACGCGAGTGAGGAGCGCGCGCCGGTCCTGAGCGCTAGATAGACAAGAGCACTTATTCGTTAAATTTAACACGCTCTCCTACAAAAACTACTTGTCGGACGTAATTTTGCTAAAGGAAAAAGTTTTTTGTTTTAGCATAAAGTATCATGTCCTGTACTCCGAATGCGGGAATTTCGGATTACCCAGTATATATATAAGGTATCCGAAGTCCTAGACCGGTAAAATCTCTCGAAAACAAGGCGTTCCAGAAAAAAATGTTTCATACAAGAGTTGTATAGTTTCAAGGGGAATATAAAACAACTATATAATTTTGTTTACAGATGACAATACTTTCGAGATATTCACTGATGATTAATTTTCTAAAATGGAAATCCCAATTTTTTATTATATCATCTTTTTCTACCAATCAATTCGAATAATTTTTGTTTAAAACATTTTTTTGTCTAATAATTTTTTGAAATATTTAAGGAAAACTTGATAACTTCTTCAATATTTAACTTGCGATATCTTGCTGTTTGTCAAAAAAGAAAGTGGTACTAAATTTTTTTACTCTATTTGGTGTCAAGAATACATTGTAACAATAGCGTCCTGATTTTTGTTAATTTGATGATTTTGAAATTTCCAAAGATCGATAAGTGATGCCGTTTGTAAAAAAAAATATACAGCTATTTTATATTCTTCTTCAAACCATACAACTTTTGTGTGAAATATTTTTTTCTAAAATGCTTTTTGAAGTATTTTGCCATCCCAGCACTTTTTATACACTCTGTATATATAATACACAATATTATAATATATACTTATTGATTCACATAATGCACAGCTACGAACATAATTTGTATACATTACCTAACATAATGATATTTTTAGTGCGTTTGAAGCTTTGATAGTCATTAGCTACATCAATGTTAGAAATAAAAACATGATTTCCTGGCAGTGGCACTTCATTGTCATCTGTATCAAGATGCGAGGTTAATAATGGCCCCTCCAGCAACAAGTGCTCAATATTGCTTGATATCGTCGTCGTATCCGTATCAACTAGCGATGGTAAAGCATAAAGACCATACCGATGTTGCCCGACATATAAAGTTTTACTAAAACAAAAAATCAGTATAATTAGCTTGTTTGAAGACATGCATTTTTTATTTGTTTAATCTCTTCAAAGTATGGAATTTGTTTCTCATCTTAAGCATATTTTAACTTACAATAATTGAATATCAGTTGATTTTGCAGCAAGTCTTCTCAATAATGAATCCAGTGTCCCTTCGGCAATACTTGTAAAAGGAACTGTTAATAATCCATCTTCAGTTAAGGTGTACATCGCTATTATCGGACTTTTAAGATCTAATTCCCAAAGAACCATGCCTAATCTTTTATCTAGTGTCACGACTCGACCTGTTGAGCTTGTGGTAAAATGTAATAAATCTAAAATCAAAGTTGTAATAAGAAACATATATGTCTATTATACATTTAATATTATACAAGGTCCTTTCAAGAATTAAATGCTTTCAAAATATTTTCAGAAAATGTGTTTTAAGAGAAAATATTTTAAACAAATATTCTAAGGTTTAAAGAAATATATTAGATGGAAGTTATTTTGACTATAAAGAAAACTTAGAAAAAGCATATTAAAGTTAACATTAATTAACTTAAAACTTTAAATACAATTATATGGTTTTTTAAATATAAATTAATGATTATATCATTCTGTGATTCACAAAGATGCATAAAATTGTTGAAAGAGAATATTGTTTTATATATATTATACACTTAGTTTGACTTCAGTGTGATATATAAATATAAATAAATAAATAAATATATATATATTATATATATATATATATATATAATGTGAAAAGAAATATAGAAACAAAAAAATTGCAATTGCACTTTACAAATACATTAATATATTGTAACATCTTGATATTAATATCAGTAAAAATTAATTTTTCTCATTATCTTTGCATATAAAAATGTGCAGAAATTAACATGAAATTATTTAAAAATGAATATTTTACAAAATATTTCATATTTTCTGTTGTAAAATATTGAGATAAAATGTAAAATATCTTAAAAATCATTTTTTGTTGATTTTATATCAATATTTTTATACACAGAATAATTTAAGAAATGGACATTTATATTAAAATAAATCACATAATTCCATTCAAAAAATCAAAATTGATTTTGACAGCTTTTTAAAATAATTTTGAAGTTAATTTCCATCAACTAATACATTTTAATAAACTTTAATACTCAACTATGCCATGCATTTGTACATGTATAAATCTTGTTTGTATATGTATGTGTGTGTATACATAATAAAAATCTAATACTTGATTTGACTTCTAGGTTAGTGCTACATCTATCATGGATGTCTCAAACATTTCCTAAATATTTCTTTTCACTTGTTCACTTTTTTAGGGAAAGGAATGACCTAAAAGTTCCTGCTCTAGTTTGCTTTCAAGTTGATTTTCTCTTTGAAGGAATGAAATGTTCACTAAATGTCAGAAATAAATTCAAAATGGATGCAGTAATCTAGAAACCAGATAAAGCATTTCTTCATATATTTGTATATTCATATATTATAGAAACCTAAAAAATATCAGAAAATCTAATAAAAATTTTAAGTTTATTTTAAATCAGTTTCAATATTTTATAGGAAGAAATGTACCGTAATTATCAGCTACATCAGATTCCATTTTTTCTGCAGAATAATCGTAGAATGTTACATTCCATTTTCTGTCTTTGTGTTTACTGTCAACCATAATAATATTATATTCTGTGCGGCCGATAAAAATAGCATTCTGTATTTTCAAAGGGCAAGTGTTTTTCACTTCATTAAAGCTCAAGAGTTGTTCTCTTTCACCAGTCATTGGATCAATGCTAAACCAAGTGTCAATTTTTCTACCAGTATATAACATGCCATCGCTACTTCTGCAAGGACTATTAGCCACTAATTGGGGGATAGTTAATGGTAATTTTTTTAATGCTTCTGAGTCTCTACCAAATAAATAAAGTGTACCATCTCTGGGATCTGGTAGAAACATACGCCTAAAAAAAATATAAGTTAACAGAATTTCATATTATTTTATTGATTACCACAAGTTATTATTGATAATCTATTATTATAAAAAGTAACAAAAATTTTAAATCAAATATTAGAAAACTGATAAATAATAATTTTAAGTTGAATTTAGAAAATTGATAAATTTGATATATTTAATTATCATATATATAATTGTATATAATAAAATATATGTGAAGAACATACATTTTAGTATCTGGTAGATCAATAGGTACTTTAACTACTGGTTCTGAAACACAAACAAGTTTATATGTATATATATTTTTATATACACATATACATATATGTAAATTGTATAAATTAAAAAATAATAAAAATTCATATACAATTAGATGAAATCAATTCTTACCATTATCTTGTTGCCATCGTATTTCTCCAGACCGTTGACTAACTCCTATAAGAGATCCTCTAAGTGTAGAAAACAAAACAAGAGTATCATCTTGTTCCACTACTAACTCAGTATTGGAATTCTAATAACAGATATTGTTTTATTTAAATTGCAAATTTAAATATATAAAAAATATATAAGTATATATATAATTATATTATATATAAATAATAAATATGTAAATAAATATATATATAAGATATACAAAATAGTTTCCTTTTATATTCATGCATATATAAAACATTTTTGAAAATAATAAAAACAAATAACATTACAGATTAATTCAATAAAAGTTTATTTATAATTGTTCATTTTTCTATTATTCATATATAAATTATAAGTTTATTTAAAGAAACCTTTATGAATAACTAACTTTATGAATAACTAACAAAACATTACATACATCAGTTGGTTGTCCTATGACAAATCGAAGTATCAGCAAAATAACAAGTGTCACTAGCTCAATTTTTTTTGCCATTTTTGTTATAAAGCAATAAGTTATTGCGCAACCATCTGTATTATTTGAAACATGGGTTGTATTTTTTGCAGTTGTATTACATAGTCATTATGTCTTCTTAAGTACAATACGAAATTGAGAAGAAACATGCTTGCAGTGATTCTAAATATAACATAACTAGTTTAGTAAATGAAATATAGAACACAAAGGCAAAAATACTCTATAAAAGAACGTAATAATTACGTCAGAAAATGAACTTAATTTGTTAACCGTGTTGCTGTATTCTTGTAGCAATTTTCTATAGTCGAGGCCAAAGTGGTCATCATAACAATATATCTATTCATAACATCGTGAATTTGATCATTCTCTATGAATTTTAGATATTGAAAATATTACACAAAATATAAGAAATAACACATTCTATACATAGTTTATATGGACACGTGTCTCAAGTACAGTAAGGACATTAAAAAAACTTGTTTCTAACGTAGGGTGCGTTCCGTTTCACGCATATGCGCGCATTTATCTATAGTTTATGTCACGTATACTATAAAAAATGCGCGTATATGCGTGAAACGGAACGCACCCGTAGAAAGATGTAGATGAGTAAATAAATGCGCCATCTTTAGATCCCACGAGAAAAGTCTGACAGCGTATACAATTGGATGCATATAAGGCCTCTTTCACATGGAGCATAAAATGCATACGTGTAATTTGCGATAACCAATCATTCATCTTAGCTATGATTTGCGTATAATAGCTGAAGCAATTGATTGGCTGACGTGGTTTACGCATACGCTTTTTACGTCACATAGGGAGCCAGTCTAGGCTGCGTTCTAAAATGCTATTTTGTGTAATGTCACCAACTCAAATTTTTCCACCTAAATATAATTCCCTAAGGCTGGGTCTGCAATAGGTATAGTAAGTTTTAAGCTTTAAGAAATTGGCTAACCTTATTCGAGGTTTGTTCGCGTCGCATGTTCCAATGTACACTCAGAGGCAGGAATGGTGTCCCTCGGCGATGTCGTATACGCCTGTAAAACAATCGAAAGCGATGACAGGCATATATGCATATGCATATGGGCGTACTGTACAGCGTGAGAGAAGCGAAGAGGGAGAAGTGGTAGGAGACGTTCCGATGTTGCATCCTTATCACACGTCGCACGATCGAGAGAGAAAGCATTACCAGGGCCTCAATTCTGTACACGCTTACCGACAACTATCGATATCGTTAACGGAGTTGCGCAGGTTTTCTACGATATACAAAAGCTGCGCAATACAGTTAACGACATCGATAGTTGTCGGTAAGCGTGTACAGAATTGAGGCCCAGACGTGGTACGGTTAATGGTGTCTCCAATAGCTGTCTCACTCTCTCTACGTTTGAATGCAAGCAATATGAGTGAGACAGCTATAGAGACACCGCGCTGTCTCTATAGGTGTCTCGCTCGCTCTAATAGCCATATATCGTGCTTTCCTCTTTTCTCCTTAGCAGAAATGCCGATTAAGGAGGTAATCCTGTCTGTAGGTCAGAAAAATAAGCTATTTTCGCGAATTCTTTTTCGGAAACTAAACAGATGATTGATTTCAAACTTGATAGAAATAATAATATATATTTTATTGATAAGAATGAATTTTTATAGCGTTATATGAATAATAATGTAGCAAATATACAGAAAATAACGTGACGTGTTTAGGCGCGCGCCGTTTCATGGTTCCTCGAATCTCGATAAAATCTCGATAAAATCTCGAAATACGGTAGACTGGGACAAAAACGCAAGTAAAATAATTAATCTACGAACTTGCCGCTAACTCGTTTGAATTAAGGAAATAAAAAACGAACTACTTTTTTAATATTTTAAGGCATTTAAAAATTATATTTGAAAAATCATCATAAATATCGATGATTTTACGTTAAGAATATTATATTTGCAAGAAAACGATATTTCATGAAATTTACGAAAAAAACTTATTTTATGCCGTAAGATATGTCAAATGTGGAATTTTTTTTTAGACACAACATATCTTTACTTTTGAAAAGACTACGAGAAGGAGGGAGAATAAATACAACATCTTCCTTAAAATGCTACTTAAAATATAGGTTCCGCTCTTGAAAATATAAAAAAAATTTGGAGACATTTAATAATAATAAAAATTACAATAATAATAACGAGACGCTATGTAGCATCTTCTGAAATCAGAGAAAAAACTTTTTTTTATATAAAAAAGTCGATCGATTGACTTCAGCATCTAATTACATATTCGAAACATGTCTATCTATCGTGTGAACTAGCGAAATAAAAAAATATTAATTTTTTATATGCACCGCGCTATCTCTATAGGTGTCTCACTCGCTGTAATAGCCAATGGCATTTATGCTCGCAATTTGATATATCTTACGGCATAAAAAATGTATCGCACTTTTCTATTTTATAACGCCATAAAAATTCATTCTCATCAATAAAATATATATTATTATTTTTATCAAGTTTGAAATCAATCGTCTGCTTTCCGAAAAAAAAAATTCGCGAAAATAGCTTATTTTTCTGGCCTATAGACAGGATTGCCTCCTTGATCATTTCTGCTAAGGAGAAAAGAGGAAAGCGCAATACATGGTTATTAGAGCGAGCGAGATACCTATAGAGACAGCGCGGTGTCTCTATAGCTGTCTCACTCATATTGCTTGCATTCAAGCGTAGAGAGAGTGAAACAGCTATTGGGGACACCATTAACCGTACCACGTCTGGTAATGCTTTCTCTCTCGTTCGTGCGACGTGCGATAAGGATGCAACATCGGAACGTCTCCCACCACTTCTCCCTCTTCGCTTCTCTCACGCTGTACAGTACGCCCATATGCGTATGCGTATATGCCTGTCATCGGTTTCGATTGTTTTACAGGCGTATACGACATCGCCGAGGGACACCATACCTGCCTCTGAGTGTACACCCAAGGCGTACAAACTCCTCGTATTTTAGGGGTGCGGAAGTGATTAGTTCGCTTATTCTTTCGGTACGTAGGCCGAGGGCAGCACAGTCGATTCCCCACTACCGCTCGTCGGATGCCATATTGGACACTTACTGTTTACCAGTTTTCTGGAGTAGTAGGAATTTTGTGTATTTTGTGCGATAGCAAGTGATAACAAGTGATCATTAATTTAGTGAGAGGTGTTTATTTTCAGGTTATTTGCAGGTTATTTACAGATTATTTTCAGGTTATTTACTGGTTATTTACAGGAAGAAGAGCCAACCCAAATAGCCAAAAAGATGTCTTTTAGATTTCTAAAAGATATCTCGCCATGTCTTGAGATATCTTACTTTTTTCCCCAAAAGATTTCTTTTAGGGATCTAAAAGATGTCTTACGCAACATTTTGAGATATCTTTTAGATATCTAAAGATGTCTTGAAAATATCCTTAAGTAATCCTGAAGAAGTCTTAAAGACATCTTGCAGAAATGTAAAAAGACATCTTATAGAGTATTAAAAGATCTCTAATAAGATTTCTTTTATATATCTTCTAAATATCTAAAAGATGTCTTAAAAAACATCTTGCAGAAATGTAAAAGACATCTAAAAGATTTCTTTTACACATATCTCAAAGATGTCTAACAAATATCTTTTAGAAGTCTTCAATATATTTAAAAAACATAATATTGAGAAATGAATAACAAATAATAGCATACTTAATATATATTAAAAAAAAAAAAAAAAAAAAAAAAAAAAAAAAAAAAAAAAAAAAAAAAAAAAAAAAAAAAAAAAAAAAAAAAAAAAAATATTAAAATTGAATTATGTTATTATAATAAAAAAAAAAAAAAAATAATTATATATTTTTTTTTTTTTTTTTTTTTTTTTTTTTTTTTTTTTTTTTTTTTTTTTTTTTTTTTTTTTTTTATTACACTTTATATTTGACTGTTTTTAATAAATATGTTTTCATATAAATTATATAACGTAACAACATTGTTTGCGTTAAAACGTTACTTGCTTGTTAAGATATGGGCGTAGCCAGAATTTTTTTTCAGGCAGACCATACACAAGCCACCTCTTTCAATTTAAGCATTCAATGCAAAAAAATTATATAAATTTTATCACTTTATTGCCGGTAAAAAATAAAAAAAAAACTTCAGCGCCTTCGTATAAAAAAATAAATTTTTTTCTACGTTTAGGGGACCGTGATCTTCCTCTGCCTCCTCCTGGCAACGCCCATGCAAGATATTGCAAGATAAGAATTAATTAATTTCTTATTATTAAGTATACAGGCTGTGCGGTAACTCGCTTTAGAAACACGATGTACAGGTAGATTAGGTGAAACTGAAGAAAAAATTCCTATATCATTTTGCGAAGAACCACATAAAATATAGAATTATTAATTAATTGATCATTAGCTAATTTCTTTAATTAATAACACAATTTTACGTGGTTCTTCGCAAAATCATAGAGGAATTGTTTTTTCAGTTTCACTTAATCTATTTTTATATCGCGGTTTTTAGCGGAATTATCGGATACTCTGTATACTAATTACAGAGTAATTTATTGTTGCACTTTTTTGTTTCGATATCTCATTTTATCACCTGCATGTTGCAGCCAGTTTTTTACATGCTTGACAATCAATGCAATGGTACAGTCAGGTCCATTTCCTTTTGTACGATTGACAGTACCTGTGGATAGTATTTATATGTTTTTAGTACTAGTAGATATATCTGGTTGGAAAAATTCATATCTATTTATATAAACAAAAATAATAGTACTCTAAACATTATGACAAGTTATAGTCCTTACATATCACTAATGTTTAAAAGTATTTTTTGTATCTATATTTGAAAATGATATAAAAGAGAATTTAACATTTGGAAAAATTAAGAGACACATATATATATAGTTTATTTGTAATTGTTAAAATATACGTACTAACTATAATGTTTGCAAAAGTTGTATTTTCGATTGCGATAGTATTTTTTGCACCAGTCCAAGTCAACTTGTGTCCTACATCAAATGTTATGCAATATGTGAGTATATTGGAGATCATTTTTTGTGTAGAGTCACCACCAATACACTTTATTTTCTTTTCCTGCAAAGAATAATGTTAATATAGACGTTAATGTTCGTATACGTGACTTTTTTTCTTTTATTATTTATTATTATTCGTATTTCGATATTACTATATACATATGGCTAAATCTATGTGAGCAGATTTCGAGTGCAATCTAATATCATCAACAGTAGATCGCAAGTAAACAATAAATTTGATGCAAGATATATGAAATCCTGCTACCAAACTACTTTCACATATGCGACAATGTTTTCGATCGGGCATAAAATTATATATTGATGGATACGAAGAAAGTATTTGTACACATATGTATGAATATATAGAGTGTTTGTTTAGGGATCATATTCAATGGAGGCATAGAACTGACTAAGATAAACAAGAAAGTCAAATATCATGTAGTACAAATTATAAAAATAGCCGATTTATGCATGAACAAAAATTGGTTGTATTGGGTGAGTGCAAAAGTTCGTGCGGAGTTTCAATAGATGGAGTTATAAGCGTCGTAAAGTGTTGTCATTAATACTTCCATCTACATATTATATAACGTTGGAAAGGTGACGTCTTCAGCTGTTATTAAAAAAAAAGTCATTTGTTTTCATACAAACTGCTTCGTTAGGTTAGGTGCTTCGAGAAATATCACTTTAAAAATGAGTATCGATAAGGTGCATTTACGGCATGTTATACTTTACGAGTTTCGGAAGGGAATAAACGTTGCCGCAGCCGTAAAAAACATTCAGGATGTTTATCAGGATGAAGCACCAGCTAAACGAACTGTGGAAAAATAGTTTGCTAAATTTCGGCGCGGAGAATTTAACCTTGAAGACGAGCCACGCTCTGGTCGACCTTCTGACATTGATGACGATGTTTTGCGTACTTTAGTGCTCAATAATCCGCGAATTTCAACAGAAGAAGTTGCTACAGCACTAAACGTTGACCGATCAACCGCTTTTCGGTGTTTAAAAAAGATGGGATTCGATTTGAAGCTCGATATATGGGTGCCCCATTTGCTGACCGAGAAGAACAAAATCAAACGAATTTCTGCAGCCGTTTCTTTACTCGGGCGGCTCAATAACGAGTCGTTTTTGGATCGACTAGTGACAGGCGATGAGAAATGGGTCCTCTACAACAATGTTCAGCGCAAACGGACATGGAAACAATCAGGTGAGCATGGTGACGCAATGCTAAAGGCCAGTTTGCACCCGATGAAGGTGATGCTCTCTGTTTGGTGGGATTGCAAGGGCATAATCTATTTCGAGCTTCTCCCCGCTGGCGAAACGATTGATTCGGACAAGTACTGTCGCCAATTAACCAATCTGAATCGAGAAATAAAAGAGAAACGTCCGATTTTGTCAAATCGCAAGGGAGTCGTCTTTCATCACGACAACGCCAGACCACACGTTTCGAAAAAGACGCTGCGCAAACTGAAGAGCCTGAAATGGGATGTCTTAACGCATCCACTGTATTCTCCTGATATCGCACCATCTGACTATCACTTGTTCCGGTCATTGCAAAATTATTTAAATGGAAAAAACTTTGACTCTTTGGAGGCCTTAAAAAACGGCGTCTCTTCGTTCTTCGAATCTAAACCGCGCAGTTTTTATGATCGAGGCATCCGTATGCTGCCAGAACGTTGGGAAAAGATTATAGAAAACGATGGAGAATATATCATTGATTGAATAAAGATTTTTGTTTGCCTAATCACTGTGTGACTTTTACTCACAAACTCCGCACGAACTTTTGCACTCACCCAATAGAACTCACGTTCGGTCTCTGCAGCTCGCAGATCGAGTTAAATCATCTAACGATACTTACCGGCACGTGACAAGCAGAAGGGAAAATGTGCAGAAATAATCCTTTCTTCTTCTTGCCGCGCGCCGATAACTATTGCTAGACGACTTGATTCGATATGCGAGCTTCAGCGACCAAACGCACCTCTTACTACCGCTGCGATGCACGATTTTTATTTATGCATTACTCAGTAATTTTTATGATTTTTGCAAAAAGATATTTGACTTTTGTTTATCTTAATCAGCTCTATGCCTCCATTGAATATGATCCTTTAGTTAACAAATACTCTGTACACACACACACACACACACACACACACATACACACACACACAGACACACACACACATATATATATATATAATGTGCAATTCAATCAGTGATTCATTGACTGATATAAATACTTTCTTCATATCAGTCAATGAATCACTGATTGAATTGCACATTATTCAAAATATACTTACAAAACATTTACGAATTGCTTCATCATTTTTCAATGTTTCATTAAATTGTACGTATTCCTCGACGGATGTCATTGGAAATTCAGGCATTAAATCCATAGTTATTGCTTCATTTTCTTCATTTCTTTGGAAACTTTCTCTTAAAATAGCAACTATTTCTTTCAATTTTGTGTTATTTTTAGCTGCTTCGTGTTTTATCTCTGTTTTGAATTGTTGAAAGTCTTGATGTAAAGTACCTACTTTTTCATATAAAGAACCTGCAAGAAGAACTATTTATATTTCATCATTCATATTTTACTGTAAGCATCTTCAGAGACTAATTTTTTAATGTTATTAATAACTTTGTACACTACAATATACGATAAAAGTATTTTGGAAATATAATAATAACTATATTATATATGATGACAATACTAAAACAATACTAAAACAATACATTACTAAAATTTACAAATTTTTAGAAATGATTTACTATTTTCACTGTTTAGTATTCATTAGTATGATCAATCAATTAGTGTTCATCTATATGAAAGAAAGTATTCATCTATATGAAAGAAAAATGTATCTTACTTATAATTATATGTATATCCTCGTCTACATTCATTTCTGTAATTGGGAGAGCCTTCATCGCTAAATAAAATAATAGAAATAGGTTCACAAATTATTGAATTTACTTATTCAACTAACTTTATATAATATATGCCATGACAAAAAGTATACCGCTATATAATTTGTCATTACCAATTATCTCATTTTCCTTATTATCGATGTTCCGATCATAATCACGAGAATTAGTATCATCCGTCATCTCTTCATCATCTTGCTCATCCTCATGAAAAACTTGAATTGAAAATTGGTGTTCATTTAAAGGTGAAGGGACATTGCAATTAGATGGATTATTTTTGACGGATAAAATTTTATCTTCCTCCTGGAATTCAAAGTATATTAATATACAAATTGTATGTGTGTGTAAATCTAACATATACGTGTGTGTGTACAAATATATATTTATGTATGTATTTATAAATTAAATAACGATTTTTGTCCGAATTTATTCAACTCTCATCTATATTTACGTATAAATAAATAAAAATATAAAATACTATTAATTAAGTAATAATTATCCACGTATTGTAATAAATATATAAATGGTTTTATCAAATGCTACTATTTTGTTTCACTGAACAACATAGAAATGCGTGTGAAATGTCTATTTTGCAGCTATGTATTGATAGTTACGATTATTCCAATTATAAATTATTAAAAAATAATCGATGTCTGAATAAAAGCACGTCCTAATTAGCGCTATTTTTCTCTATATATTAATCATTAATATTTGTAGTACTCACCCGCTTCTGCACGTTATATTCCGAACTCACTGATCTAAAATGTAATGAATTTTTCTCAAGTTCAACATTTATAGATGTAGCTCCAATCCCTTCGTGTATTTTATAATTTAATGGGGGATGTTGATTTGATTTATATTTCTTGGAAATATTACCTATATTTTATAGAAAATTAATTTTTTCAACGATTTACGACTTATCTTTATAATTATATACTTATCTTTATAATTATATACTTATATATAGTATATAATTATATTAGTAAATTAGTTTTGTTACTCATTTTCAATTTGTTACTTTACGTTTTATCATATTATATTTTGTAATTTGCTGTAATAGAATTTGAAACTTACAATCATTCACGTAATTATTCGATTCATCATCATAAAATTTTTTTTTCGTTATCAAACGTTTCAGAGGCAATGTTTGGATTGGTTCATTTAAAGAAGCAAATTGAATATCATCCGAAGTGGATATATCAATACAAGATTTTTCTGCTTCCCGAGCTTTATCAAATATATTGTAAGGTCCTAAAATTTTATGAAAATGACTAATGTTCCAATCATTTCTAGGACTTATCTTCTTCTTTATTGTATTGGTAATATTTTTTTTAGACAATGGAAACGTAAATGTTTTTGCATTAAAGTTTACCCAAGAATCGGGAACGACTTGGCAGTATTCGTCCCAAAATACGACGTAATACATCTGTAACAATAAATACTGATTAAGTAATGATGAAGTATTTAAGAGAATAAATGAAAATAATTTCACTCATAATTATTATGATTTTCTATCCTAAAGCATCCAAATTATGGTTCAAACTTGTCATAATTTATTGTTAAAAAATATTTATATATATAAAACTTATTATTTATATAAATATCTGTCATAATTACAAATTGGATTAAACAATATTATTTGTATAATATAATATATTTATGTATGATATAATACAATTTATAAATTACTAGTTTTATTTATAAATTATTACAGTTGTTTTTATAAAAAATAACAACTCACTTCAATCATTAGTATGTAGAATAGGAATTATACAAAATGTATCTTTGTAAGGAAGTCGCATTGCTTTTGCGCTTATTTGACTTATTGGATACATTCCAATTTCAGACCATTCATTTCCGGCATAGATTTTCAAATTTCGCGAATCACATGGATATGAAGATATATTATCGAAATTTTTTAACTTTTTTCCAAGTATTACTGTTTCTCCATTCTTTTTTCCAATATATTCAATCATGAGAACATTTCTGTTATTCATATAACAATAAGAATCGGCTTCTTTGATGCAGGATAGTGTAAATTTTTCAAATATTATTTCTTTATGAGATTGTGTGCATCCAAACAATAATTCTTCGTTCTTGGCATTTTGAAGAATGGGATATGCTTCAGGTTTATACCCAATATTTCTTACAGTTTGACATTTTTCCATTAATCGTCTGTGCAATTGTTGTAACGGTTGTGCATTTTTTCGTAGCATTCGTTTCATTTCTTGAAAATAATTTTCGAATGGAAAAGCACTGAACATGTCCAGACACCCATGATTCTTAACATCAACAAGTAAATGAACCAAGTTATGTACATTGTATGTAACGTAGTTCTCAGAATATAACATTTTAAATGTTTGTACAAAATGTACTAATAATTCATGTGCATATTCGTTATTGTATTCGCAATCGGCAGGATTACAAAGAATATAAATTGCACAATGTAGAATAAAAATGTCTCAAATAATCATTTGGCAAATATGACCATAAAATTGATAGACTAGTATATAAGAGAAACAGTCTAAATTCTGTCGCTTTCCAGCGATCTAATTCATCTAAACCTCTTGGTTTCCTAGAAAATTCTCTAGGTATGTATGTTAACTGGTATGTATAATTAACTGCTTTAAATCTATAGATAATTGATCAATTTGAGAAGCACGCAGTTTAATGCCCTTTATTCCTCGGATCCACATATTTATAAGTCTTTTCATGATACCGAGACAAACAAGATGCATATAATCTAATGGGAACTGTGTTACCATTTTCAATCCAATGTTTTCAAAAGGTGAATTATCCACATGATGATCTTCATTATGTCGTAATAAAAATTTTGATCCGTAATGGAGCATTTTCATTAAGGAATAACATTCGATTGTTCCTCCATTCACCTTCCTCTTCACATTTATCGCATCCATAATATCCTGTATGACTTTTAATACATTTCATGAATGCTTTTGCCGGGGCGTCGCATATTATAGCATTTATTAAAACTTTGTATTTTTTTCCTCGATATTAGAATCCTTTATTTTGAATTTCACTATATTCTTCAATAAATTGATGAATAATCTCATTCGGTTTCTTCGGCTTACAATATCCGTGGAATACTCCAATGACAAAAGGTATTTCTCTATAATGAACGTGGACAATTTGCCCTAAAAGTGACCAAAATTGCGATTTAGAACTCTTTGCCAATGGTAGTCCGTCAATGCTTAAGTTGATTTTAATTTCATTTTCACAACGTTCATGGAGAGGTTTATTATATCGTAAATGATTCTTCAATGCTGTCTGCAATCCATGATAATAAAAAAGTACCAGAATGATTCTTAATTATTGATGTTGTTCTCGGAGTTCCCAATAAAGTTCTCGCATTACAAGGAAGCTTTTCATATCCATTGATTTTGAGACCTTGAAGCAATTTTGTTAGAGCCACATGAGTAATATTATACTCAAGACTCCATGTCCGAAGAAATTTGTATAATGCAAGTTCTTTCTGTACATTAAAACTCAAATCTTTATAACATTGATTATTGCATTCGGCAATCAATTCCATATCAGATTCTGAATAACTACAATTTGAATAAGAATCAATTCTTTGATTGCATTCTTCGACATCTCCATACATATATATATTATTATTATTCAAATAATTGTTACTATTCTCTTCAATAAGAATATTGTCATTAGACATTTCATGAGGAATCTCAATGTCTAAATTAATATTATATGTATCGCCTGTATCAATAGTATGTACTGCACAATCAATATTTTGTCGCCGACGCCATTGTTGAGACCGACTCAAATCGTTATATCTTTTTCTTTTCGGCATTATTAATTTTTTTATTATATGTCGTTTGAAACCTACATACAAATGATGAAAATTTCATGATATAAAGGCAAAATATTAAATAAATAATATGTAGTTCTTCCACATATAAAAATACGAAAATCGAATATCGAATATATGAAAAAGTGAAATTATTCCAAATATTTAATATTTACTATTATTATATTAATTATGCCAGAGTATGAAATATCTTTTAAACTATTATATTTTTTAATTTTATCTTTGAATGAATATCAATGATTTTATTACAAAGATATTTCGTGTAGATTAAAAAAGAAACATCATGTCCTATTTCTTCTTTGTAGTAGCGTCCAGATGAGTACTGCGTCCTGGAACAGCTTTATATCGACGTTTCAGAAACGTTGCAGTTTGCATCTTAAGAGCTGAGAGCTTTGATATTAATTATTCTCTCCTCTTCTTTCTTCAACACAAGGAAAGGGATACCTAAGCACACTCACGAAAGAGGAAAATTCAATATCAGGACTCTCAGCCTTGAAGATTCAAACTGCAATGTTAGCGAAACGTCGACATAAAACTGTTTCAGGACGCGGTACTCAACCGGAAACTATTACAATGAAGAAATTCACCGACCATGAAACCCTCAAATCTGAAACAATCAGTGCACATACTGACGTCAGATTGGCGACAGATCCACAGACATCTGTGTCCACAATCTGCTGTTAGACTGCCGGCAGAGTATGCTAACACAATCTATGACAGCTCTGACAGCAGCTTGATGGCAGAATGCAGATCTTGCTAACGTCTATTAGCAGGCTCTGCACGCAATATACCACGAATCTACCATAAAAACCTAATTAATACATACTGTGTGCAATCTATTGCCTTTGTGTTACAAATGCTGCTAAGAGATTGCTCGCACAGGTTTGGTTATTTGCTTATTATATTATTTCTAGTTTTCAATTTTTCAAAGAATCGTAATCATTACTTAAACCTACCTTATCGAGGAGTTTACCAGCAAGTAATTCATAAAATTAGATAATTTCTATGGCGATAATTGTGTGAAGACGGAGGACAACAACCAAGTACTACTGGTACAGTCCGAATATTGTGTCAATTCCGTTGTAAACCTAAACATAAAATGTGATTGATTAAAATCCTAATGTTCATTGAAGTACAAAATGTAGCACATTTATTACTAACATTAATTTTCCAGCAAAACATAAGGTTAGGATAGAGTAAATTATATTAAAATATTCTTAGTTATACAAATCGCACAGAAAATATTAAACATTGAATGGCAAAAGGATTTAAGTATAAAGACAGATACAATTGTAAATTTGAAGGATTTCGAGGATTACCTTTGATAAATATCGGATCCTTGAACCGCACGGTTTCTTTTCGGTAGGAAGTCACGAGGTCTGGGAGTCGATTGAAACAAGTGAATGACAAAAGTGAGTGAATTTACTAGAATTCACCACGTTTCAAGATACGCAATCGATCTGTTTTTGTTTACCTCCCAGATAGCACAATGTCTACAAAGATGTTTAAAGACTTCTAAAAGAAGTAGGACGTCTTTTAGACATCTTTTAGAAGTCTAAAAGACATGTTTGCGCACATTTTGCTATCTGGGCTGTTCTTTGTTGTTATTTGTCTGTTGTTTGTTGTTATGTTGCACGGATTATTTTATTGGCTACGAAGTATCTCAAGGGTTGCGTTCTGTAATTCACTGACAGCACTGAAATTCTATATACGTTACATGAACTACAGATTTTCAGTATTGGCCGTGAATTAGGGAATGCAGCCAAGATGAACTTCAGAATGTCTTAAATATAATTGAAGATTCACACGAGATCGGATGATACGATATATCCCATAGGAGAACAATTTCTTATAGAATACCGGCCTTAGGGCCGGTTGTTCCAAGTTTAAAATAATTAGTTAATTTGTCTATTTTTATTCCTTCCTTAAATTAGACAGACAAATTATGATTAAACTATTATTTAACTTACTAAGAAGTTGAAATCGGCTCTTAAAGATATCTTCTAAAAGATATCATTTAGATATCTATTACAAATATATTGAAGATATCTTTTAAGATATCTTTCAGATGTCTATAGATATCTTTTATAAATTCTACAAAGATATCTTCCACTACATCTATTTAGATATCTTATAGACAACTTGTAGATATCTTTTAGAAATATCTTAAAGAAATCTTTCATAAGATATCTTTTAGACATCTACAAGACCTCGTTGTTTTCTGGGAAGTAAGGAGAGAGAGCATGTGGAGAAAAAATATTTTTATTTCTGTAAGTAAATATTTATATGTAAATATGTAAATCGGTTTAAATTATTTCACGTTGTTCGTTGATCTTCCCTAAGGTCTCAGATAGCACAAATGTTTTAAACACATTTGACTTATATTAAAAGACATATTAAAAGCAAGAAGTCTCTCTTTTATACGCTTTTAGACGTATCTTATTGTAGATCGATGTTAAGAGTGAGTGTATGAATGCTTATGTGCAGTGATGCACATATATGGTGCAGATTGTTAGTGCATCAAATTTTTTTAACCATACCAGGTATATGGCAGAAAAGTACCTGACAGTCCGCAGTCTGCAAGTGGGACGGAAAAAATTTGATGCATAAAATTCATTGTAATTATTTTTCATTGAACTGTAAATAATTTCATTAAACTACATATATATATATATACCATTGTAACTAAAAAAATATATATATATATACCATTGTAACTAAAAAAATATATATGTATAATATGTTTATAAAACGAAAATTGTATATTGCTTATTTCAATAAAATTTGCGAACCTATTATACACACATACATCACAAAAAAATATATATATATTGAGTTGAATAATAATTAATTTCTTAGTTTTCAGGTACAATGGAATAACTATATGTTTATGTTATTATAATTTCATGAAATAATGTATGTGATATATTGAACTATTGGGTTCCTCACAAAGTGCTTGCGTTCATTAACATCATTGATTCATGTTAATTCTTTGTATAAAATTAAGTTTTGAAAATCACTGAAAAAACTGCAATGACTTTTTGAACAACCCCATATCATCTACCATCTCTCGCATACATTGCTTCATGAAATTATAACATACAAGTATTGTTTAATTTTACCAAAAAAATATAAAATCACTTCCCAGATAGCATCGAATCTTCAGAGAATGTTCTTAGAACGTTCTTAGGATGTATGAATGTCCTTAGAACGTTTTTAAAACGTCCGTTTAAGATTTGTGCTATATGGGTCATTACACATTTAATATATATACAGGGTGCACGATTTATCTGAAGACATTGAAATATCTCGAAAACTATGCATTGGATAAAAAAAATGGTTAATGAAAGTTGTTAGCCTCGAAGGGGGACTTCCAATGATACCAAACTCGACCTCCCACCCCACCCCCTGGGGGTGGGGGTTGGGGGCAACTTTGAAATCTTAAATGGAAACCCCCATTTTTTATTGCAGATACGGATTCTACGCCACAAAATACATAAATTTTGTCCGAAACTTTTTTTTTGATTCGTGATAGATGGCGCTGTAATCGCAAAAAATTATATTTTCCGCAATTCTCCAGAAATGATCATTGGATTGAGAAATAAAAAATACCTGTTCAATATTTTTAAAGAACATAATAAAAGTTATTCCCCCCCATCCTCCCAAGGTAGGGTGGGTGGTAACGTTCAAATCTCAAGGTGAGGGGTGACTCACATTAAAAAAGCACCCGAAGGGAACATAAAACTACTACGTCCTCGTCGTTGTTCCTGTGTAACGCTAAAAGTAGTTTCTCGGAAAAATTCAACGCTATCTATCACGAATGAAAAAAATTGTTTCAATAAAAATTTCACGTACAATCTAATTCTGCAATGAAAAATGTGGGTCCCTATTTGAGATTTGAACGTTATCACCCACCCTACCCCGAGAGGATGGGGAGGATTAACTTTTATTATGTTCTTTAAAAATATTGAACAGGTAATTTTTATTTCTCAATCCAATGATCATTTCTGGAGAATTGCGGAAAATATAATTTTTTGCGATTACAGCGCCATCTATCACGAATAAAAAAAAAGTTTCGGACAAAATTTACGTATTTTGTGGCGTAGAATCCGTATCTGCAATAAAAAATGGGAGTTTCCATTTAAGATTTCAAAGTTGCTCCCAACCCCCACCCCCAGGGGGTGGGATGGGAGGTCGAGTTTGGTATCATTGGATGTCCCCCTTCGAGACTAACAACTTTCATTAACCACTTTTTTTTATCCAATGCATAGTTCTCGAGATATTTCAATGTCTTCAGATAAATCGTGCACCCTGTATATATATATATATATATATATATATATTTATATGTAAGGCCTGTTCTTTTTCGCTGCACTGATGCAATAAGTTAGAATGAGAAATATATATTTGTTTCACTCTAACTTATTGCATCAGTGCAGCAGTGCAGCGAAAAAGAACAGGCCTTATATTTATTGGGTGAGTGCAAAAGTTCGTGCGGAGTTTGTGAGTAAAAGTCACACAGTGATTAGGCAAACAAAAATCTTTATTCAATCAATGATATATTCTCCATCGTTTTCTATAATCTTTTCCCAACGTTCTGACAGCATACGGATGCCTCGATCATAAAAACTGCGCGGTTTAGATTCGAAGAACGAAGAGACGCCGTTTTTTAAGGCCTCCAAAGAGTCAAAGTTTTTTCCATTTAAATAATTTTGCAATGACCGGAACAAGTGATAATCAGATGGTGCGATATCAGGAGAATACGGTGGATGCGTTAAGACATCCTATTTCAGGCTCTTCAGTTTGCGCAGCGTCTTTTTCGAAACGTGTGGTCTGGCGTTGTCGTGATGAAAGACGACTCCCTTGCGATTTGACAAAATCGGACGTTTCTCTTTTATTTCTCGATTCAGATTGGTTAATTGGCGACAGTACTTGTCCGAATCAATCGTTTCGCCAGCGGGGAGAAGCTCGAAATAGATTATGCCCTTGCAATCCCACCAAACAGAGAGCATCACCTTCATCAGGTGCAAACTGGCTTTTGGCAT